AAGCAGTGGTATCAACGCAGAGTACTGGGCGTGAGGAAGGTCCCTAAGAGATTCGACGTAGTGGCTGCGACGATAGCTCGGCGACGTTGCCGTGGGCAATTGAGGTGAAATTGATCGACGACGTGTACCGTCGACGGTAGGAGGCAAATCCACAACATCCCAACGTAAAGGGTGCTGGGCAGCGCCCAAGGCACCAGAGCGCGCATCGCCAACCCGATGAGCGGAAAGACGACGAAGGTAGAGGCCAGAATCGCTCCCTGCAATTTCCAGTTCTTGAAGGCCGGTCGAGGGTTTCGCGGGGCTCAGTCGGGCACCGTAGAGGAAGAACAGGATGAAGATGAGGACGGTGACACCATGCTTGACGACGGGTACTGCAGACCCAGTGGCAGGAAGCATCGATCCAATGATCGCCGTCACCACAATGGCGAGGACGAACCCGTCAATAGGTAGCGTGCGGCGTGGGTTGGCGGAACTCATCTGTCCACGATAGTCACCGGTAGGTTGGAGCGGTGGCAACGTTCATCGATATCGACGATCCCGCCGACCCACGACTGGCTGACTACGTGAACCTGCGTGACGTCAACCTGCGCAAGTCTTTGGAGGCTGAGCATGGGCTGTTTATCGCAGAGGGGCGCCAAGGTCATCCGGCGCGCTTGTGAAGCTGGCTACCCACCGCGGTCCTTCTTACTGGCTCCTCGCTGGATTGACGGTTTACGGGATCTCTTCGACGGCCTCGACGTCGAGGTATTCGTCGTCTCCGAGACCCTGGCCGAGCAGGTGACCGGGTTCCACGTCCACCGCGGCGCCCTGGCTTCTATGTGCCGTCAGACTCGTTGGAAGCGCCGCTGATCTTATGGCGGCGCGACGTCTGGTGGTGTGCGAGGACATTGTCCGATCACACCAACGTCGGAGCCATCATCCGGTGTGCGGCCGGAATCGGGTGGGATGGCGTCTTACTGGCCCCTCGCGCGGCTGACCCGCTCTATCGTCGGGCTATCAAGACCTCGATGGGGGACGGTTTTTTTTCAGTTGCCCTGGGCTCGTCTCGAGGATCTGGGCGGGAGGTCTTGGTGAGTTGCGCGACCACGGTTTCACTGTGGCAGCGGATGGCACTGAGCGGTGACTCAGTCACCCTCGATGAGTTCTCCGCCGATTTGAGACAGAACCCGCGCAAGGTTGCTCTGCTTATGGGTACCGAGGGGGGCGGGCCTGTCGGCCCACTGGATCAGTCAGGCCGACGTCGTGGTGCGTATCCCGATGGCAGGCGGGCGTGGACTCTCTCAACGTTGCGGCGGCAGCTGCGGTCGCCTGCTACGAGTTGCGGGGGTAACCCGGGTCAGCCCTTTGGAGTGAGGGGCCAGTCGTCGGGGTACAGGTGCGCCACGCTGTCCGTGTTTGCTCGTCGAGTTTTGCGGCGGGGCACGCTTGGAGAGTCGGTCCCCGAAGACGATGCCGTTGCAGTGGTCGGTTTCGTGTTGCAGACACCGGGCGAAGAACCCGGTTCCGGTGACGGTGATGTCGTTGCCCCACGGATCCTGACCAGTGCAGGTGGCCAGATCGGGGCGAGCCATGGACTGGAAACCGCCGGGCCATGACAAGCAGCCCTCATCGGCGGCTTCCAAGTGGCGATCGTGTCCTTCCGGCAGGGTGACAACTGGGTTGCAGAATGCTCCGTGGTGGACGATGTTGTTAGCGTCAGGGCAGGCGTAGACGAACAAGGACAAATCAACCCCGACTTGAGTTGCGGCCAGCCCGACACCGTCGGCGGCGTTCATCGTGGCGAACATGTCGCGGATGAGGGTCGTCAGGTCCTCATCGAACTCTGTGACTGGACGGGTCTGCGCGTGCAGGACGGATTCTCCCCATCGTGTCACCCGACGCAGAGACCCACCTTTGAACAGATCCTCCCAAAGGGGTTGTCATTGGGGGTGTGCTTGCGCATGGCTGATCTCCTGGGGTTGATAAATGTTTGTAGCTGATTGTGTCACGAGTAGACGACGCCCGTGATCATCCGGTAGTCGGGCCCACGATGACCCGCATGGCGCCGGGCTGGTCGATAGTTGTCTCGACCTGCCAGCCGCGGTGTCCTCGTCCGGTAGATGGATTGCGATCTGACCTTCCTCCGGTAATGCGACCCACACGCGGGTGCCATTCTGAGTGGGTAACGGTGATGTCGCGCGGGTTCGCTCCGGTGGTATCAAATTCGTCAATCAGATTGATCCGTCCAAACCGCCCTCCCAGTATCCCAATGCTGCCGACCGACCTATTGGCGACGAAATGCCGGCCGTCAGGGGTAGTGACGATTGCTGACGGGGAAAGCTGGCGTACAAGCGGAGCGACGCTCTTGCGAGCCGGTATGTGACCAGCGCGACGACGCCGTTTTCTGGGACGAAACGCCACTCGCGAGCCCACATGTCATGACCGGTAGGACGAGACCACGTGCTCACGGTGCCTGACAACGCTCCGCCGACAGTCAAGATCTGCTTGCGCCCATCTTCGGTGAGGGTGAGGTGACGCGGGCCACATCCCGCACGGGGTCTTGAGGGATCCGATGATCTCGGGGCCGGCCTCGCTCCAGCGCACGACGTTGATGCGGTCAGCTCCGAGATCCGTTGACCGCAAGATGCGCGCGATCCAACCACGTCACCTGGTGAGCATGGGGACCCTCTTGACGATCTGCCACCGGTCTAGGGAAAACACAGCCCTGACCGAGATCGAGGACGTTTCGGACAGTTGGTCGGGTGGGATCTGATAGGTCGACGAATTCGACCTGCGCCGAGGCGTAATCCGCGACGGCCATGAGACGCCCAGTGGGGATCGACGGCACCGTGGCAAGGCCATTGGCCTTTGAGCTGAACGTCCCGACGACCTGGAACTCGCGTCCGGGGTGGACAACGACAAGGGTGCCATCACGCTCGCACAGCACGACGACAAGGTGGTATAGCGGGGTGACCCAGGACGCATCGCCTAAGGGGCAACTGCCCACAACGTTGGTGCGAGGCCCGTCAGTCCTGTCGTCACCTGCCACGCGGTAATGCCTCCGATTGCGGCATCGCAAGTGCGGTAACAGGCAAGAACTGGGGTGACAGCCATGGATGGGAGCCTACTCGGGAGCGAGGGCTCACCAGGCTAAAGAAGGTCAGGCGATTGTCCACAGGGGGCGAGGTCCGATGTTGTCGGGTATCCACAGTTGGAAAATAAGTTGGCGAAGATCGCGATCTGTCACGATAACTGAAGACATGAGGAGATCTGTCTGCAATCAGCCTACTAATCATCACGGTGGGGATTTGCTTGCTGGCCTTACCAGCTCCCAGCCACAGCGTTTGCTGCCGTTCCCGCGCGAAGTGTGGCGAATCGTCCGACTCCGCCGGTGCTAGGCCCCGTCATCAAAGGGTTTGCGCCACCTGCCGAAAAATGGCTGCCGGGTAGTAGGGGAGTGGAATTTGCGGCCTCCGTGGGAGAACCAGTGACGACCGTGACGGCTGGGGTGGTCGTTTTTGCTGGCCAGGTCGCGGGGGCTGGGGTGGTGAGCATCCTGCTTGCTGACGGTCGTCGGACAACCCACATGCCGGTTGTGCCTAGCGTTGCTGTCGGCCAGGTAGTGGTTCCTGGCCAGCAGATCGGAGTTGTCGGGATGGGGCCACCATGCACCCGCACTTGTTTGCACTGGGGGTTGAAGAAGGGAGATGTTTATCAAAACCCCATGACATTGTTGCAACTTCAGGTGCGGTTGCTGCCCTTGGACAGTCCGGGCCTCATTCAGCGTCGGGGCACGGATGGCCTGTGCGGCCCCTGAGCCTGCCAGGGGGCAGCAGGAGGAAAGCTGCCTCAAGCGGTTGCCCTCATGCCTCCGTGGCGTGGAGCTGGGCGGGACGCCGCGTTAGGCATTGATACGACGGTGACCGAAGCCACCCGAGGTGGCTCAGGCGCGGGGATGAGCCTGGCGAAACGCAGTGCGCAATCTTTCGGTGGAAACGTGGGTGTAGATCTGCGTGGTGGCTAGGGATTCGTGGCCCAATATGTCCTGGACGGTGCGCAGATCTGCTCCGCCTTCCAAAAGATGGGTCGCCATCGCGTGACGTAACCCGTGAGGCCCAAGGTCGGGGGAGTCTGGTTCGGCACGCAAGTCGGTGTGAACGACTCGCCGAACGACGCGTGATCGATGCGACGACCACGCGCTCCCAAAAAGAGGGCCTGCCCGGAGTGCGGCCCAACCCATTCCTCACGACGAGGTAACCACGTATCGATGGCACGCAGCGCAGGCGCCCCCATAGGCACGGTGCGTTCTTTGTCGCCCTTGCCCGTAACTTTCACAGTGCGGCGAGATCGATCGACGTCACTCAGATCAAGACCGCACAGCTCGCCGACACGCAGCCCTCCACCGTAAAGGACCTCAAGGATGGCGGCGTCGCGTGCGCCGTGGGGAGATTCATCGTGGACGAGCTGTGCTACGGCTTCGTCGAGGATGTGACGAGCCTGATCGACGCCCAGAGTGGCCGGCAGGCGTTTCGGGTACTTTGGCCGAATTCAGAGCGGTCGTCGGATCGGCGGAAATGAGCCCTTCGTTTAGCCGCCCAGCGGAAAAATACTCGCGCAGCCGACCAGCGGCGCTGCATGGTAGCGGCCGAGGCGCCAGCCACACGGGTATCAGCTAGCCATGCTCGCACTTGCGATGTGCCGATCCTGCCCAAGGTGTCGTCGCCGTGGGAGTGAGCGTGGCCCATGAGATCGATGAGGTCAGCTCGGTAACCGCCGGATTGTGTTGGCGAGCGTCGGAGAGCCGAGAGGTGGCCACAGAAGTCCTCGACGGGCACCGTCAGGGACATAGGCAGCCTGTCCGGCGCCAACCGCGCGTCGGGGATGGCTTCTTCATCACATCCACTGTGGCCTGTGATTGCCGCCATGGTAGGCAGACACGCGGAAGTGGCCGGGGTCAAGGGGAAGGTTAGCTTGATTGCCTCTTGGTGTCGTAAACTAATCGCGCAGTCCGGATCATTTCGGACTGACTTCGCATCGCATCGACGTCACCGACGACCGGACGTCCACGGTCCTGCCACGGCAGGCGGACGAACGGTGATGCATCAGGAGGATGACGCAATCCCGCGTCACCGTTCAACCGTTGGCATATCTGTGTGATGTGCCCAGAGAGGGAAGGACACGGCATGGCCGTCGTCACCACTCGCCAGCTCCTCGAGAGCGGCGTCCACTTCGGACATCAGACGCGTCGCTGGAACCCGAAGATGAAGCGCTTCATCTTCACCGAGCGCAACGGCATCTACATCATTGACCTGCACCAGTCGCTGACCTACATTGATAAGGCGTACGCCTTCGTCAAGGAGACTGTCGCCAAGGGCGGCCAGATTCTTTTCGTCGGCACGAAGAAGCAGGCCCAGGAGTCCATCGTTGAGCAGGCCACTCGCGTTGGCATTGCCCTATGTCAACCAGCGTTGGCTTGGGGGAATGCTCACTAATTTCCAGACCATCATCGAAGCGCATTGCCCGGCTCAAGGAGCTCGAGGCCATGGACTTTGACAAGGTATCCGGCTCCGGTCTCACCAAGAAGGAGCTGCTTATGCTCTCTCGTGAGAAGGACAAGCTGGAGAAGGACCTCGGCGGTATCCGCGATATGCCGAAGGTTCCGCAAGCGGTCTGGGTCGTTGATACGAAGAAGGAGCACCTCGGCCATCGACGAGGCTCGCAAGCTCAAGATTCCGGTCGTCGCCATCCTCGACACCAAACTGTGACCCCGACGAGGTGGATTACGCCATCCCGGGTACGATGACGCCATTCGTTCGGTGTCCTTACTGACCCGCATCATCGCCGACGCCGCCGCTGAGGGCCTCATGGCTCGCTCAGCTGGTAAGTCTGGTGAGCAGCCTGCTGAGGCCGAGCCCATGCCCGACTGGGAGCGCGAGCTCCTCGAAGGGGACGGCGCTAAGACCGAGGCCAAGGCTGAAGAGCCGAGGCCGAGGCCAAGAAGGCTGACGAGGCCCCCGAGGCCGAGAAGTCCAACTGAAGTTCGCCCACGTCTAGACAGGACTGAGATATCTATGGCTATCACTGCTGCTGAGGTCAAGAAACTGCGCGACGCTACTGGCGCCGGCATGATGGACGCCAAGAAGGCCCTCACTGAGGCCGATGGCGACTTCGATAAGGCCGTTGACATCTTGCGTGTTTCCGGCGCTGCTAAGGCTGCGAAGCGTTCCGACCGTGAGGCCAGCAACGGCCTGGTTGCTGCCGCTGGCTCTTCCCTGGTGCATATCGGCTCTGAGACCGACTTCGTCGCCAAGAATGAGGAGTTCATCGCCGCCGCTCACGAGATCGCCGAGGCTGCTGATAAGGCCGGGGCTGACTCTAAGGATGCTGCTATGCCGCAGCTTTGGCTGATGGCACCACTGTTGGTGACAAGCTTGGTGAGCTCGCCGCCAAAATCGGTGAGAAGATTGAGCTCGCTAACGCCGCTCACTTCGATGGCAAACGCGCACGTGTACCTCCACCGTCGTTCCCAGGACTTGCCCCCGCAGGTCGGCGTCATGGTTGAGTACGAGGGCGACAACATCGAGGCTGTCCACGGCGTTTGCCTGCAGATCGCGGCTATGAGCCCGCGCTGGCTGTCCCGTGACGAGGTCCCTGCCGACGTCGTCGAGCACGAGCGCACCGTTGCCGCTGATATTGCCCGCGAGGAGGGTAAGCCTGAAAAGATCATCGACCGCATCGTCGAGGGTCGCCTAGGCGGCTTCTTCAAGGAGAACTGCCTGCTCGATCAGCCTGCCATTTCCGATGACAAGAAAACCGGTCGCCCAGACCCTTGAGGCCGCTGGTGTCACCCTCAAGCGTTTCGTTCGCTTTTCTGCCGGAGAGTGATCTCGTCCCCACGTGGGGATGATAACGAGATTGTGACGACGAACGGTCCCACCGTACGAGGTGGGGCCGTTCGTCGTTTCCCAGCGAATGACGGTCGCGGCTAGGGCGAACTGCGATGGTAGCCGTCATCGGGCTAAGCTGGGGTGACGCATCCCGCGTCAATGTCCGCTGACCAGGAGAGATGATGCCAGAGCGCTACAACCGAGTCCTTCTCAAGCTGTCCGGAGAGGTTTTTCGGAGGAGGAGGAATCGGCGTCGACGCCGATGTCGTGTCCGCCAAGGCCCGCGAGATCGCTGAGATCGCTAATAGCGGCGTTCAGGTGGCCGTCGTCGTCGGTGGGGGGAACTTCTTCCGCGGGGCTGAACTTCAGCAGCACGGCATGCAACGTGATCGCGCGGACTATATGGGAATGCTCGGCACCGTCATGAATTGCCTTGCCTTGCAGGATTTCTGTGAGAAGGCTGGTGTCGATACCCGCGTTCAGACAGCCATCACGATGGGCCAGGTTGCTGAGCCTTACATCCCGCGCAAGGCCGAGCGCCATATGGAGAAGGGACGAGTCGTCATTTTTGGTGCCGGGTCCGGAATGCCGTATTTCTCGACCGACACCGTCGCTGCTCAGCGAGCCTTAGAGATCGGAGCCGATGCGCTCCTCATGGGTAAGCAGGGGGTTGACGGCGTCTACGACAGTGATCCCAAGACGAACCCGAACGCCCACAAGTTTGACGAACTGACCTACGATGAGTTTCTGTCGCGTGATCTTAAGGTCGCCGACGCAACTGCCGTCGCCATGGCCAGGGATAATGACCTGACGATGGTCTTCTTCAACCTCGAGATGCCAGGCAATATTAGCCGCGTCATCAATGGTGAGGACATCGGCACCACCGTCCATCGCTGAACCATCGAGACATACCAAGGAAGGACAACACAGTGAGCGACATCATTAAGGACGCCGAGAAAAAGATGGGGTCAGCGGTCGACCATGCCCGCGAGGAGTTCGCGGCTATTCGCACCGGGCGTGCTAACCCCGCCATGTTTAACAAACTCATGGTCGAGTACTACGGTACCCCTACCCCGCTGCAGCAGCTCGCCAGTTTCCAGGTGCCGGAGGCTCGCACTGTCCTTATCGCGCCCATTCGATAAGAGTTGTGTCAATGACGTCGAGAAGGCTATTCGGGATTCCGACCTAGGAGTCAACCCCTCCAACGATGGCAACGTGGTGCGTTGCGTCCTTCCAGCTCTGACTGAGGAGCGCCGCAAGGAGTACATCAAGATGGCCAAGACTAAGGCTGAGGAGGGGCGTATCGCGGTCCGCAACGTCCGTCGCGCCAGCAACGATGTTGTCAAAAAGCAGGAGAAGGACAAGGAGATCTCTGAGGACGAGATGACTCGTCTGGAGAAGGAGCTTGACCAGGTCCACCCGCAAGTACGTTGAGCAGATTGACGATTGCTGAAATCCAAGGAGAGCGAACTCAGTACTCTGCGTTGATACCACTGCTTGCGAGCCTGAGAAGAAGACCACGGCCGCACGGACTCCACGTGCCGGCCGTGATCTTCCTGCTGCCATCACTACGGGCGTAGTGCTGTGCGGTGCCGTCATCGGCACCGTTGGATGGTGGCATTGGGGTTTCGTGTTGTTGATGACCTTGGCCCTTATGGCCGGGGCCATTGAGCTTCATCGAGCGATGGTTCGTTTGGGAATGGACTCCGCGGTAGTTCCGATATGCGTCGGCACCGCAGTTATGGTCATTGGGGCATATGCGGCCTCGACCCTGAAGCTTCACATCCTGCCCAATACCTTCCTGGTGGTGACGTTAGGTGCGACGACAGTTGCCGCAATGGCGTGGCGACTGCCACGCGGGTCGCATGGCTTCGTCAAGGACGCTGCTGCCAGCCTTTTCACTATCGCCTACTTGCCATTGCTTGGCTGCTTCGTTCCCCTCATGATGGGCGATGACGGTGGTAGCCGCCGCATCGCTACCTGGATCCTCAGCGTCGTGGCTTCTGACACCGGCGGTTATGCCGTAGGGGTGCTATGTGGCAAACACAAGTTGGCCCCGCGTATTAGCCCGAAAAAGAGCTGGGAGGGTTTTGCCGGGTCCGTCATAACCGCAGCTTTCGTTGGATGGGCCTGTTTGGGAGGATTGCTGTCGGCGCCATGGTGGGCTGGGATTGTTCTTGGCGTTGTTCTAGCCTTGACCGGCACTGCGGGAGACCTTGTCGAGTCGATGATTAAGCGTGACGCTGGTATCAAGGACATGTCGAACTTCTTGCCCGGTCATGGCGGGGTCATGGACCGGCTCGACTCAGTGCTGTTTTCGGCGCCCTTCGCCTGGCTCGTCATGTCCCTTGTGCTGTGACTGTAGTCGCGGGGGCCACTCCACTATGAGCTTGGCCAAGCTCCGATGATATACTATCTCCTAAGTAATAGCTATTAGGTATAGATGGGGGCGAAGATGGACATTATTATCATGGTCCTCATCGCCGCGTTGGTGTTGACGATGATACTGCGCGGCGTCAGGAAGTCGATATTCATTGTATCCGTCATGGTTATCGCAGCGCTTTGCGTGATTCTGTTGTCGCTACATGCGACGAGTGATCTGGGGCTGTCATGGTGAGGAACTACGACATCGAAGTCGAAAGTCTGTCAGATGCGGAACGAACCCCGTCTAGAGCAGGACGGGTGTTTCCTATCGTGGGCTTCTGGGGAGCGAACCTCTTCGTGCTGGCCTACATTGGGGTTCTAGCGGGTGGATTCATCGTGCAATTCGGGTTGCATGAATTCCCATGTCCACTGTGCATGCTTCAGAGGTACTCGATGATGCTTGCCTCTTTGGGGCCTCTTTACATCATTGTTCGTACCCGGCGCGGGTCCGTGACGATGGCGGATTTTTGCCTGGGCTATGGCGTATCGATCCTCTCGGCGGTCCTTGGCGCAGCGGAATCGGCACGTCACATCCTGTTGCATATTCAACCTGGGGACCCCGGATATGGTTCTAAGGCTTTCGGGTTGAGCACCTACACCTGGGCCTTCATCACCTTTACCATCGTCATAGCATTCTGTGGCGTCATGATGACCTTTGCTCCGTGGCTTACCCCCCGTGGTGTTAAGGCCCACGCCATATCCACTGTCATCATGTGGCTATTTGCCCTCATCGTCGTGGCGAATCTCGTCATGATCGTGTTTCTTGAGGGATTGCATTTCCTCCTGCCCGGTGATCCAGCCTGTTACGAGCTAGTGCAGAACTGTTCGCCGAGGTGACGTCGCGACCCGTACTTAGCAGGCACCGACTCGTGTGGTCGGGTGGTGGGAGTTGGGGATAATGGGGGCGTGATGTCATCGACTGGAAGTTCCGTCAGCACGTCAGGTCTTGTTCTGCCCTCCACGCCGCTCGCCGAGCCGGGCAAGGAAGTGCCACTCGTGGTGAATACCCCGAATCGTGCCAAGCCACCTCGTCACTGGATCGATCTGAGCATCGAAGAAAGGGTGCAGGCCGTCAAGGATTTCGGTGTGCCAGCTTTCCGTGCTCGGCAGATTTCCGCTCACGTCTTTGAGCGGTGGGAGGTCGACCCGACTCAGTGGACTGACTTGCCTAAGGCGGCCCGTCAGGAGATCGCCGACGCCTGGTTTCCGGTCCTGTTGACCAAGGTCTCTCAGCAGTCGTGCGATCGCGGCACAACCGTCAAGACCCTGTGGCGGCTGCATGGTGGAGCTCTGGTTGAGTCGGTACTCATGTACTATCCAGCCACCCGTCACTCTGCGGCTCGCGCCACCTTGTGCCTGTCTTCGCAGGCCGGTTGCGGTATGGCCTGTCCGTTTTGTGCCACCGGTCAGGGTGGTATTCAGCGCAATATGTCCACCGCCGAAATCGTCAGCCAGGTTTTGGCGGCGAATCGTCTCATAGCGGCAGGCGAGGTTCCTGGGGCGTCCGGACGCGTCCACAACATTGTCTTTATGGGTATGGGTGAGCCGATGGCCAATTACCGTTCGGTGCTTACTGCCATCCGGACCCTGACCGCCGACGGTCCCGACGGGGTCGGGATGAGCGCCCGGGCCCTCACCCTCTCGACAGTCGGCCTGGTACCACGTATCAAGGCCTTGACGCAGGAGGGGATCCCGGTAACCCTCGCCGTCTCATTACACGCCCCTGACGACGAGCTGCGTGATGAGCTCATCCCGGTTAACCGTCGTTGGAAAGTCGACGAGTTGCTCGACGCCGCCTGGCACTACGCCGAAAAGACGAAGCGTCGCGTCTCCATCGAGTACGCCCTCATGAAGGACATCAACGACCAGGGCCGACCGTGCCGCGGTGCTGGCCCGTCAGATCCGTCGTCGGGGCGATTGGACCTGGGCTCACGTCAACCTCATCCCTCTCAATCCGACGCCCGGTTCCCGCTGGACGGCTTCGCGCCCCGAGGACCAGGATGCCTTCGTCGAGACACTTGAGCGCTGGAAGATCCCGGTGACAGTGCGCGATACCCGAGGCTCTGAGATCGACGGTGCTTGTGGCCAGTTGGCAGCTGTGGGACGGTCGGAAGGACTAGGCAGCTAACGGTTTGCGGCGGCCCCGGTGACAGTCCCGGTGTGCCCCGAGCGTCACAATCGTCCACACAGAAATACAGAAGGGATTCACCGTATGGATAGGCAACTCGAAAACGCGTACGAATCGGTGTTGCGTCGCAACCCAGGGGAGGCCGAGTTCCACCAGGCTGTGCGGGAGATCTTTGAATCTCTCGGCCCGGTGCTCGACACGAATCCGCAGTACGTGGAGGCAGCCGTGTTGTCGCGCATCTGCGAACCGGAACGCCAGATCATTTTCCGGGTGCCGTGGGTTGACGACGAGGGCAAGATCCGTATCAACCGTGGCTTCCGCGTTGAATATTCGTCGGTGCTGGGGCCGTATAAGGGTGGATTGCGATTCCACCCCTCGGTGTACTTAGGAACGATTAAGTTCCTTGGTTTTGAGCAGATCTTCAAAAATGCTCTGACTGGCATGCCGATCGGTGGCGCGAAGGGTGGGTCGGACTTTGATCCCCATGACGCGTCCGAGGCTGAGGTCATGCGATTCTGCCAGTCCTTCATGACCGAGCTCTACCGTCACCTTGGTGAACACACCGACGTGCCAGCTGGTGATATCGGCGTTGGCAGTCGTGAGATCGGATTCCTCTTCGGCCAATACAAGCGCATTACTAACCGTCATGAGTCCGGTGTGCTCACCGGTAAAGGACTCACCTGGGGTGGATCCTTGGTGCGCACTGAAGCTACCGGATATGGCACAGTCTTCTTCGTCCAACGAATGCTGGCGACCAACGGCAAGTCTTTAGACGGCCTGCGAGTTACCGTCTCCGGGTCGGGCAACGTCGCGATCTACGCCATCGAGAAGGCTCAGGATCTCGGAGCCACCGTGGTTGCGTGCTCAGATTCCAGCGGTTACGTCGTTGACGAGAAAGGTATCGACGTCGCCCTGCTTAAGCAGATCAAGGAGGTGGAACGGGCCCGCATCTGCGAGTATGCCGCTCGACGCGACTCGGCTACTTTCCACTCCGACGGATCGATCTGGGATGTGCCGGTCGACGTCGCCTTGCCCTGTGCCACTCAGAACGAGCTCAATGGTCAGGCTGCCGCCACCCTCATCCGCAACGGTGTGGTCGCTGTCGCTGAAGGTGCCAACATGCCCTGCACTCCTGAGGCGGTGCATTCCTTCCAGGACGCCGGCGTCATTTTCGCCCCGAGTACTCTGCGTTGATACCACTGCTTCGCTACTTCGGCCCTCGAGATGCAACAGAATGCCGCGCGCGACTCCTGGGATTTCGACGCGACCGAAGCTAGACTGCAGCAGATTATGGCCGACATCCACGATCGTTGCATCGAGACCGCCGACGAGTATGGCCACCCGGGGGATTACGTTATGGGTGCCAACATCGCCGGGTTCACCAAGGTGGCTGACGCCGTTATCGCGATGGGTGTCGTCTGAGTGCCGCTACTGCCTCGTCGACGGTGTCGACGAGGCGAATGCGGTGAGGGTGGTCCCGTGACATGCTGTGCAGCAGCGGCCAGGCCGGTAGGGTCTGGCTCCAGTAGCGGTTGCCAAGCATGATGAGCGGGGTCATCTCGTCTTCGCTGGTGGCGTAGTAGTTACCAGTGAGAGCTTGGAAGATTTCCTGGACGGTGCCCGCTTGGCCAGGTAGGTAAATGATCCCGCCTCGGCAACGGTTGAGGAGGATATCTTCGCGCAGCGCATTCGAGAAGTACTTGATGATGCTGGTCGCAAAGACATTGGGTGGTTCGTGACCGTAGAACCACGTCGGGATGCCGATAGTGCGGTGGGCGGCGCCTTGCGGCCAGGAAGAAACGACGTCAAGGCCCGCCTGCACCCATGTGGTGACGTCGGCAGTCCCGGCGACCTTCCTCAACCGGTCCAGGGACTCGTCGAGCAGGTCGGGTGGGCAGGCAGCTCCCAGGTTGGTCGCCTCCATCGCTCCCGGGCCGCCCCAGGTTGTGACGAGATGGCCGGTACCAGCCAGGGCGGCACCGAGGTCGGCTGCCAGCCGATAGTCGTCGGAATCGCGGGTGACAGAGTGGCCACCCATGACACCCACTGTCATGGACGGATCGGTTCCTGCCAGCAGGTCATCCAGAGCGTCGGTCATCGCGTCGTCATGCAGAGCAGTGGCGAGGGTGTCGCGCAGTCGTGGCGGAGTGGCCAGGCCGCGGCGCCATCTGTCGATGGCAGCGTCCAGGGTGACGTGGTACCCCCTCGCCGATGTCGTTGTACAGTTCCTCCGCTGTGTAGGCGCCCGGGTGGTAGAGTACTCTGCGTTGATACCACTGCTTGGGAAGATGAGGGCGCCCCGGGCGCGCAACCAGGCTGCGAGCCGGGCGGAGGTCGAGCAGCCAAGGAAGATCGTTGTGGAGACGTCGCAGTGACGAAGGAGGTTGCTGCACCCGGTGAGGTCGACTCCCTGGACCACCTGACCAGCGAGATCGGGAGCAGCTGCGCGCAATTGGTCGACCGTCTCGATTTCGATATGGGTGGTGCTCATCGTCGTAGCTCCGGGTGCACCAGGCCCAGCAAACCACCAGGGTTGAGTGGTTCGTTGTCCCACTCGGTCGTCGTCGCCTCCGGGATCATTCGCAAGGTGAAGGTGTGAGGGGTTGAGATGACGCACAGTCTTGCTACGAAGGTCTCGTCCTGCCACCCGCCGCTGGTCGCGATATCGATGGCATCGTCACCGACCCGGCAGTGGGAGGTCTGCCATTCCTCGTAGCCCACGGCGATTTCGAGGGTTTCGTCGGTGGGATGGCTGGAGGTGCCCGGACAGCGCCACGACATCGCCCAGGCCCTGCTCTCCTTGTGCGGGGAGACGACGATGTATGACCCATCAGGGGCGATTCCCTGCACCGATCTTGCCGAGTCGAATTCTCCAGTCACGGTGGGCACAGTGCGCACGATTTCTTCAGGCTGTGGCTGGAATCCATCCGCTAAGGCAGGCAGGAGGTGGTCCCAGACAGCTTGGAGAATGGCCTGCTTGTCACCAGGGCCTTCACTGGCCTCGTTTGTCATAGTGATGACGGCGTCAACCTCGGGGACGATGAGGACATACTGGCCGAAGGCTCCGTCCAGAGGGTACCCATGGCTTGACATCCATGTCTGCCAGCCATACCCCATTCCCCATTCCGGATCGGTCTCGCTGTCGCAATTGACTTGACGGACACGGTGCTGCCTGATCCACTCCTCGGGTAGTAGACGGGCGCCCTCATGCACCCCATCGTCGAGGAGAAGCTGGCCGAACAGAGAGAGGTCTTCGGCGTCAATATGCAGTCCTGAGAACCCCATCGGGATGCCGTCGGCGTCACGGACCCAGGTGTGTGGCCCCGCCCCGATCGGGTCGAGAACCTCCTTGGTGATGATGGTGTCGACGTCCTCGCCGGTGTGTTGAGCAACGAGCCGAGAAAGCATCCAAGTGGCCAGATTGTTGTAGGCGAAGTCGATACCGGGACGGCCTTCCGGCTCGGTCGCTAGCAGGATCCGGGCGGTGTTGAGATCGGGCAGACGGCGGGACACCAGAGTTGGTTCGAGGAGCTGCTCTGGGGAGTGACCGGTCGATATGGACAGGGCATTGCGAACCGTCATGGATTTCGCTACTGGCCCGGTGTTGGCTGTGCAGGCCTGCGGCCACAGATCGGCCAAAGTGTCGTCGTATCCGAAAGCTCCCCGATTCACGGCGATGCCGACGGCAGCTGAGGTGAATGTCTTCGAGCAGGAGTAGGCCAAACTCGGGACGTCGGGGCTCCATGGAGCCCCGACGTCGTCGACCAACGACCTGACCGTGCTGGCGGACGACGAGCCGGTGGGGGTGAGCCCCGGCCTGCTCGAGCGCGTCTGCAGTGACGTCGAGAACACTGTCAGTCATGGCTTCCACTCTAGGGCCGTTAATGAGTGCTGTGGGTACCGAAGAACAGGACTGTGGATTGTGGTAACGCCGTGACACACTGGCAGGGTGAAGAAGGTCATCATTCTCGGCTCCACCGGATCGATCGGAACCCAAACTCTAGAGGTCATTTCGTCACGTCGTGACCAGTTTGAGGTCGCTGGCATATCGGCAGGTGGCTCGGATGTTGGCTCACTAGCTCAGCAGATAATCGACTTCTCTATCCCCGTCGTAGCTATCGCTCGTGAGGATGCCGCTGAGGAGCTTCAGCGGGCTTTGACCGTGCAGGCTGGATCACGGGGCCTTGTCGTGCCCAATCCTCGGATCCTTACTGGCCCGGATGCGTCGACAGAGCTGGCAGCTATGCCCGCTGATGTTGTCTGTAATGCCATTACCGGCGCGGCTGGTTTGCGACCGACCCTCGCCACCTTGGCCGCAGGGACTACCTTGGCTTTAGCGAACAAGGAGTCGTTGGTCATTGGTGGCAGGCTCGTTACTCAGGCGGCCGCCTCAGGACAGATTGTCCCCGTGGATTCTGAGCATTCCGCCTTCGCCCAGTGCCTGCGAGGGGGCGGGCGCAACGAGGTGCGTCGCCTCGTTCTGACCGCATCCGGCGGACCCTTCCGCGGTCGCGACCGTGCCTCCCTCGCCGATGTCAGTGCTGCCGAGGCCATGAAGCATCCCACCTGGAATATGGGCCGGGTCATCACCATTAACTCGTCGACTCTGGTGAATAAGGGTCTGGAGCTGCTCGAGGCGGCCCTACTTTATGACGTTGATCTCGATGACATCACCGTCGTCGTCCATCCTCAATCCATCGTCCACTCGATGGTGGAGTTCTGGGATGGCGCCACTATTGCTCAGGCTTCGCCTCCCGACATGAAATTGCCGATTGCCTTGGGACTGTCTTGGCCGGATCGCCTTCCTGACGCAGCTGCCGGCTGCGACTGGTCGACGGCTACTCAGTGGACTTTCGAACCCCTCGACAGCGACACTTTCGGGGCCGTCGAATTAGCCCGACGCGCCGGTCATGTTGCGGGTACTGCGCCGGCCGTGTTCAATGCCGCTAACGAGTCCTGTGTCGACGCCTTCTGTGCCGGAAGTATCGGTTTCCTCGACATCACCGACACCATTGCCGCGGTCCTTGACGAGCACCTATCCGGTGACGAGAACGACACCCTTGGTGCTCGACATGTCGGCGACGAGGCCCTCACCCTCGACGCCGTGTTGGCCGCCGACGCCTGGGGTCGTCGTCGCGCCGCCGAGGTGTGTGCCCGGGGGATTCGCCGGTGATAGTTGTAGTCGAAGTGCTGGCCGGAATCGTCTTTTTTGGCCTCATCATCCTCTCGGTGCTACTCCATGAATGCAGTACTCTGCGTTGATACCACTGCTT